AAAAATTAAATGAATTTAACTATAGAAGAATTTTGACATGAAAATGAACAGACAAATGAAGAGAAATTTTATCAATTTGTTAGTATTCGATTTTCTAAATTCAATTTATATCTTATATAAGGATACCATCATATTATATTATCTATCTTTCATTTTTCACATTTGAATTTCGCTTGGCAACAAAATTAAATTAATAAAATAAAAGCTTATATATTTTGTGATACAGTAAAAAAGAAAAAGTAGAAAATTGAAATCAATGAATATTTAAATATCAATTTTTATTGTTTACAATAATTATACAACTTTAATAATGTGATATAAATCTATCCATGATGGACAGTCATTTTTAATAAACTTGAATTTGTCATTAAAAAAATTTAAATCCAATTAATACAAATGAAAAATATTTATAATATTTATCTTTACCAATATATTAATAAATATTTACTAAAACTATATCTTTATATAAATGTTTATATTAAGCAATATTTCAATTCTGAAATCAATATTTTACTACATTAATTTTACTATTATAATATTATACTATTGCAATAACAGAATTCATTATCGCATCATTTTTTATGTATGTATGATAAGTTTCCGAAATAATATTTCAACAACTACTAATAACTTAAAACTTTTAAAAATTTGTTATTATGTTGCGTATAAATAATTTACAAATATTTATATCCTTATGTTGAATGGATACAAAAATAACATATATTCACAAGTGCCATGGATTATATGAAATGAATTTTCGCAGAAGATGGCTAACGACAACAAAAATGAATTACTATTTTAGTAGAAATGATAATTTAAACAAATGTGATTTTAATCATTTTATATAAATTTAAATAAACATGCGACCATAAAAATAATATAATTTAAAAAACAGTTTTAATGTTTATAAAATAATTAAAAATAAGAATAATTACAATAAACTAAAATAGGATTAACTTTTTTAATAAAATATGAAAATATTAGAAACAGAAATAAAATAATGAATGCTGTTTTAGTACTTCGTAATTAATTCTTCAGCTTTTATTAAAAAATTTTTAAGTAAACAACAATCATATATATATATAAATGTAAATATGTTTTAAGTTCGTATTACAATCTAAAAACTATTCCTCATAATTTTAACGCATAAAAAAAAGGACCTTAATTTAAAAATATCATTGGAATCAAATAATCCCTTTTGTGTTTTCAAATCATTTTAAAAGGTCGATAATAAAATAAGATAAAATAGTAGTTAGAGTTTATTTTTCTTTTATCGAGTTAAAGAATTTTAAAGAAAGTATATATAACTTCCGCTTATATACTTTGCTGAAAATTTGTTCAAAACAGTTTTTAGAGTAGATGTAGTAAACATGAATTTTAATTATAATATATTAGTAATGGTTCATTTTTTGTCGAACACATTATTTTATTAATTATACTTGACAATTTATTTCATTTATTAAAAATTATTTTTTACACTTTGTCAATTATTCCATAACTCTTAAAAAATAATTATATATATTAGAAAAATTGCTGTTTCTTTTATTTAAGATAGCGAAACTAATAGTTTGATAAATCTGGTTTAAATTTATTAAATAATTAATTAAATATTTTGACAAAAAGTTTAATCATATTTTACTAATAGCTCAATATTATTAATTTTAAATGAATTTTATGTGAATATGTGGTTAGAGAATCAATTTTATATATTATTGAAATTTAATCCAAATGTTTCATACTAAGTAAAATAATAATATTAAGCAGATAAGATACGAACATCAACTACATTATTTATTTATTAATATATGAAAGATTTTAATTAATCTATTTAAAAATATTGTATGCCTATAATAATTAAACAAATCACATAATATATAGGAAAATTTTTATATACACTTTAAACATTCATGTAAAAATTAACTACAATTATAGTTTTTATAATTCTGAATTTTCAATTGTTATATATAAAATCAATAAATTCCAACTATTCTATAAATTCTATGATATTCTATAAACATTCTTGAAAAATTGCATATATATATAATTAATTGTATCTTATATAAGTTGATAAATAATAGTAGTCCGAGAATATTAAAGTTAAAACAAATGAATTAATATTTTCTTTTATCAATGCTTTTAAATTTAATACTTTTTATTAATGGTACATATAAAACATATATATTGCAAATAATATAGTATAAATTTATATTTGTGCTATATACAAAATTACAGGTGTTTACTAAAGTATTAGATCAAGGAGTGCTATTTTATCAGGATTAGTAACTTATGCGGGTCTCCAATGACAAATTAGGCAAAAAACATGATACCCTTCCAATTTATAAAGATCAAGTAACAGAGCAAATGAGCAAAAGAAAAATGCAGGACTGTAGTTCAATAAATTAAAAAAAATCACATTAAATTTTTGGAAATGTTTGAATTCTATAATTTTTTCAATTTATATGTTTATTACTCAATAATTAAATTAAATTACATTAAAGAACAATTAAAATATATTAAATTTATTAGGTAATGGACTTTGTTTTTAGTATAATTATTTGCTTTTAGTGTTACTGAATTAAATCATAAAAGTATGTATTATGTTTTATAATCAAAATAAATTTTAATAATATACAAGTATGAAATAAGTGTGCCTGAGAAAATTTTTCTAAACACAAAATTTGACAAACAGTTATATGAAACGTAGTAAATTAGATATTTAATAAAATAAAAGACAATGTAATTGCTTGTATCATTATAAATTTGTACGAATATGTACACCTGCACATATAAATAAATATAGAACTATGCGTTAACGAAATCCCACGTTTTTAAAGAAATATATATACAATATAAGATTATATTCATTTATTTATTTTTAATTAGTTGAATATTTTTGGTATATACAATTAATTAATATATTAACGTCAATATAGTTTAACTAGTAATTACTTGTAAAATATTTTTTATTTGATTTATGTTCATTTGTTAAAAATTCGATATTTTACAATTAAAAATAAATAAATATAGATAAAAATATGTTGTTCAAATTTTATAATTTGATTCTATAACATTTCTATATTAAAATTAAGAATGAACATTAATATTCTACTAATATATCAGAAAATAGATAAAAAAATCTAAATGTAATTGAATTTCAATTAAATAAAAGATAAAATACTTTGAGCAAAAGCTTATACGTTAATAATTCGGTAAATTTTAGAAAAGGTTTTAAGTGATAGTATATATAGTATCAGTATAAGTTATTGAAAATTGTAGAATTTGTCATTTTTTTATTAAGAAGTTCAATAGTATAAGGACAAGTTTAACATAATTCAATTTATTCAATTGGCTATATGATTGATTTATAATATAAATAAGAGAATGATGACTTGTGCATTTAGTGAATCGTCCAATACTGAAATTTGGACGCATGAATACGCATACAAACTATTTCCTTCAACTATTTTCTCAATTTATGTCGAAATCGTAAAAACTTTCAAAACTAATTAATGTACTTCTAATAGAATCGGCACCAGGCTTCCATCTTTTTTCATGGTCTATTTCCATGGTCTAATTTTCTTTAATTAATGAACCAAATAAAGCAAACTCATTATATTTTATTTCAAATTTTTATAAAATTTCCTTACACTGGTACATATTGTTATTAATTCAAACTTTAAAAATTACAATGAAAATCAAAACGTTTTTAAACACTTCTCCAATTCAAATTAAATGTTTTATAATATTCTTATTTCGTCATAAATTGTGATTTTTAATTTAATTCCTTATATTTGATTATTTTCTGATTTTTAGGTTTGAAAAATTTGGATCTTTAAATTTTCAATATGACTCGTTAAACAATATGTATTTTACAATATGTAATACATTTATTTTTTCACTATCAAAATAAGGTATTTTTTAAAGAAATAATAGTAAATATAAACATCGATATTATTATTCATTTCATTCGTTCATTTCCTAGAGTATGTTACTATCATAAATAATTTTAAAAATTTAAGTATAAATTTTTTATGAAGTTTTTTATGAAATTCTGAAATTCTTTATTATTTTTATTATAAAAACACGATAAAAGTTAAATTCTAATATTTATTAAATAAATTTTACTTAGATTATTATATTGAAGTTATAAAATAAATATAAAACTGTTAAAACAAATAATCGTAATATATCTGGAGACTTATTATTATTATATTCTACTCCACCATGTCAAGAAAAATTAATTTACCCCTATATAGTATTTAAGAATGTGATTTTTTTCTATACATAATAACAAAAAATTTATTTAACATGCTTTGTAGTATTTCTACGAATGTTTTAACTTATGAAAAATATCTAATACATATTAATTGCCTTATTTATAATAAATATCACTATAAGCCAATTATCCAATGTATTGGTTTTTTTATCGTTTTAGAAAATTTTTAATAAATTCATAGAATAATTTTATAATATACGTTCTTTTTATAGAAATATTAAATACACATTTTATTATTTTTTTAAACAAAATTTGCTTTAACGTAAAAATTATAATAATATATTTAAATAATAATAAATCATATGTAAAATAATGTTCTCTTATTGAAATCAATTTCAAAATACATAAGTTGTCATTTTTATCATTGTATGTTCTAATTTAAAAATAAAATGTTTTAAACAAGAAATAATTTTATTTCACTAGAAAGGAATACTTATTTTATAATTATTATAGAACTATAAATATATATACACATACATACTGTTAGTTTTTATGAACTAAATTTAACATAAAGTTGTATATTTGTATACGTCTTATTAGTCTATTTTATATAAAATATTTGTTAAAATATTACTATAATATATAAAAAAATTATATATATATATGTATATTTTAAGTTGCATTTTATGTAATTAAATATTTGTAAATTTTTCTTTTTTTTCTAGTTAATTGTTAGTTGAGTATATTCAACGTTAAAGAAAAACAATTATAATTTTTTAAGATTTTAAAAAATTTTTATCTAATTGTACTTAAATGTATTAATTAATACTTATGTGCTTGTAAGACATTTGCGTGGTATGTTTGCAGAACAGGAATAGTTATTAGTGAAAGTTTTTGGTTTTCTTTCAATATTTTCCATACATTATCTACATTGAAATATTTTTTTAAAGTCTTTTCTTAATATCTCTCTCCATCGCATCTCTATGCACTTAGCATTAATAGCGATACAGATTTTCATATAAAAATATGTTATTTAATTTTATTTATTTACATATTATAATTACAAATTCTTGATTTAAAACAGCATTATCCTGCAAGTTCTGTTCCTGAAATAATCAAATAACAATACATGATCGTAAATAATTTACTAATAATTATTATATTAAAATCAATTATATAAATAAATACATAATATTATTTTTATTTTTAAATATTTTTTATAAAATTTCATACGTAAAATAGTTTTGCTAATGTAAGTTTTTAAATCAGTGTATTTTTTAAAGTTTTCCAGTTTTTAAATCATCATAATGATTGTTAAATTATATCTCTGTTAGTGCCATATTAATTATTGAAAACAGTAAATAAGTTATAAAGCAAATTTCAATAGTATCAATATAAACTTAGTTATTAATAGTTTACTGACAGTTTATTAACAGTTGTGTGATTGTTATAATATATGATTGTTATAAATATTGTAATAATAATAGTATTTTCAAGTAAAATCCATAATCTGTTGATAATTATTGCGTGCAGTCGAATTATGCAAATTCCTCAAAAAATAATTAAAAACAAGGTATTTTTGTAAATATTAAGAAATAGGTTATTCAAATTTAATGGGTTTTATAAATGAAATCTAATCGAAATTTTAATGTAGAACAATTTTTTTTATTCATTTAGATATAATGTTATAAATTTTGTATAAAGAATATAATTAATTAAAAATTTAATAACACTTTTTTAACTATATTTTTATTATCACTCAAATATATATTTAAATATCATTGAATGAATATATTTGTAATTTATTCAATATTCTTAAAACTGAATTTTTGAAGAGTATAGAGGAATATTAATAGATATTAAAAAATTACTGTTATATTTAATAACACTACCTATAAGATATTTAATAAATTTATTTATTCACAACTTTTGTTTTTCATAATATTTCATGATTTTCTTTATTATTAATTAAAAGATAATGACAGTATATATAAATTTAGTTCTTTAAATACGTACGTTATAATCTATAAAATATCAATAAACATTATAACTTCTTATATTTATAAATTATAAGCACATGTATGTTGTAATAAAAAATATATAATATTTTAAATTTTCTTTTGATATTCGTGAAACAAAAATTATTATTTAATTAAATTAAGTTTGTACGTAATTATATTAAAAATATTAATGATTAAAAATAAAATGTATTACAAAAGAATCATAATTAATTAATTATGTAGAATAGGTACTTTTAATGATATAACTAATAATTATTCAATTATATTTACGGTTTTTATTAAATTATTAAGATTTTTTACTTAAACCAACAAATTAAAAAAAAGTTAATCTAGTACAAATATATAATTTATCAACACAGTTTAGAATATTTGGAACTTAAGAGTTTATTTTAATAACGCAATGAAAAAAACATTAATTTCTATAAATATCTAAAAAGGCCTCTCATACTTACTAATTAATCATCATATCATACTTTATTAATTAATAATATATATAAATGTGGTTTCAAATATTAGATAAAAATGAGAATGACTAATAAATTACACTAATATTTTACAATTGTTTACATTTCTAAATCATTTATTCTTTTTACGTATTAAATTAGCGCTATTATCACTATTCGGTTTTTTATTATAATTTTTACAATATACCATATATTATTAAATATAATTATAAATCTGGCATTAATTTATTATACATACATCCAGTTACTGTTTATCTTTTCAGATGGATTAATGTTTATTAACACAATAAATAATACTGATTAAAAAAGAATGAAAATAAAAATAGCAAAAAGATAAAAGTAGTTTCTCACTTGGGATTCATTTCGCGGCAAATTGCGACATATTTGTCAGATTTTTGTTCACGAACAAAACCCAGCTAGTGTGCTCCCACTTAACTGAATTGATTTTCAGAATAGCTGTCTGATATATCAAAGAGAGCAAAGGGAAATCCATATATGATCTATTCTACAATTTCGAAAGAGATTAATGCAAAATATCAAAGTTATTTCAGACAAAAATAAATATTAATTTTTCGTATTTATTTCCCTTTGCACACAATTATTTAAAAAAACATTCTTTGATTACGAATTCTATACTTTTTTCAAATATAATTTTGTAAAATTTATTATCGTTAAGTATTTATAACATATATATACATATAATAGATTGTTTAAAAATTTGTTTTGAAATTTTCAAAATATTAATATTTTTATAAAAAGGATTTAATTCTTTTTATAACAATTTTATATTTATTTTATATAATAAATTATAAATTATTATTTTTCACTTGGGAAATGCCCTTTTTGTAGAAAAATATTTAGGATTATAAGATATATTCAATATATATTTATAAAAATATTAAAATAAATTTAAATTAAATATTCAGAATATTTAAAATTATATTCTTGTTAAAATAAAATCATTTTTCGTGATAATTTTAATATAAATTTTTTATATAAAATTTGTATGTAAATTACAGGAATTAGATTATTTACCTTTTTTCTTTGTAGTATAAAAGTAAATGCTTTTTTATGTTTAGAAACATTTTAGTATCTGTTCAAAAAATAAACAGAATTTACTTTAGGATTGTTATCAAATTATAAATGTTATCAACTGACTTGGAATATTTTGCTGATGAAATTGAAAATTAATAGGTCCGACACAAAATAAATAATTAATATTTCATTTAATGTAATACGTTAATATTAATCAAGTACAAATAATAATGAAACATATAACTTTTAATGAAATTTAAAAATATTTGTTTTATCAAGATAGCCTTCGATAGTACATTAAAAAATAAAAATGGAAATTCAAGAATAGACATTTTTAATTTCAATCTACACTTTAATAACTTCTTCAAATTTGATGAAAAAGTATATTTATGTTTATTATAAATAAGTTAATAAATAATTTTTTGTAACTAATATTATAGTTTTTCAATATTTTTATATAAAATTCTTCATTGAATTAAATGATTTTAAAAGTATTATTTTAATGAAAATATTAATTTAAATTAATAAATAAACTTTTTTTAAAGATTAATTGTGATTATTAAATTTTATGAAAAAATAAATTTATTTACCTTTGAAACCTTTTTCTGGAGACACATAATCTTGATTGACGGCATCAAATTCGTTATCACTATTCTCTATTGACTTATCAACCTATAAAAGATGATAAATTAACATAATTGATTTAGTTATTATTCATAAATAATGTGTAATACATTAGCAATATTACATCAAACAATCCAATAAGCAAACTCTTAAATTATAACTATAACTACATTTATGATTTATAATTAACAGATTTATATTTAAAAAGTGTGTTATTGATTTATACATTTGTTTAATACGTATATAAATAAATAAATATAAGCTTATAACGTAATAAACAAAAAATTTCTATACATGAACTATTAACAAATATTTTCATTTCAAATGTGAGATTTAATTTTGGTAAAAGTAGAAAGATAATCCTAAAGAGGAAAAAGAGTTATTTTTTCCTTGTGATAATCGTTCTCTGAAAAGATATAGTATCGTTACATCAATCCATGGACCCTGTTTTCATCAAACAGATGCATATATGTGCACGTGCATATGCGCATGTGTGAGTAGAACACGTGTGAATAACTAAAAACTAAGAATTTCTTCCCACGCGTCTTTTCACATCGTATCGTTCACATGTGCGTATATTTACATCTCGTTAATTTTTATTTTAAAATGCAATAGTAATTGAAAAATAGAATACAATTTATTTAAAGTAATAGTTTAATATCTTCATGTTATTTTCAATATATTTCCAAAGGATATTTTGTTTATTGCTGATAGATTGTGCCATATTAAATTATTAATTTTATTATCTATATGATAATTTCAATTTTGATTTTGTAAAAAAATAATTGTAATGAAATAAGAAGTTTAATATATTTAAATATTAATGAATGTAGTTTTTAATCTACTATGTATCATTTATTCACAAACTATTATCATTATTTTGTAGAAAAGTCGATTATATGTTTAAAAATACTTTTATTGATTATAAATAAATTAACTAGACATATGTTATAAATAAAACAAATAAAACAAATAAAGTAATATTAAAATATTACTTTTTTGAGTTATTGAATTTAAAAGATTAAAAATCAAATATATAAATCTTTATAAAGTTAAAATAAATATTTCAAATTATTTTTTGAATGTATATTTTAATGTTCAAATTATTATTTAGTTACTTTGATTCGCAAAATCTATTTCTCAAGATATAAAGTGCGTTAAAATATTTTTATTAATGCATTAATAGTAACAAAACAATCTTATAAATAAATTATAATAAAATTAAAGCATTTTGTTTTAATATAAACACTTCGATCGGCTGCCCCCCCCCCCCTCCCAGCTAAATATAGTAAGTACGATATCCAGAATATAGTTAAGTGTAACACACATGTCTCTCCGTTTATGTGTTTTCTATTCAATATCAGATACATCTGGTCGTATCAGAATATACTATTTTGAAGGATATTTCTACAGTATCGTAAGATACTTAATATAATATAATATAATATATATTAATGTTTTATTTAAATTAAGTATGAAATAAGAGATAAATTTCTGAAAAATAAAAATTTTAATATATATTTTAAAAGGGTTACATAATTTACCAAACCAAAATCATTTTTATATAAAACCGATGCATACACCGTATATTAATATTTTTCTATTATTTTCTTCACATAATTTTATGTAGAAAATTCAAATTCATTTAATAAAACCTTATTTGTATAAATATAAATAGATGCAATTTGATAAAACCTTACAGTATTGTTAAACTATTGTCCTTTTCCAGTAATTTTAATACTTAAATCATAATTAAAAATAATTGGATAATAATGGATAATAATTGGACCATAATTGGAAATAAAAAATGGTATATCACTAGTCACGGTGACCGTCAATTTATTTCACAATGATCTTCATATTCAAGTTTCAATTACTACTTTCTTCTAAATAAAAATTAATTATTAAATAATTTATACTGTATTTTACAATAAGCTTGCCACTTATTATTTAATGTTTTCGATTTTTTAAAATTGGTCCTTTTGCTCTTTCGTATAATAAACTTAAATATTTTTTAGTTTTTTAAATTATTTTATTAATAGGAAATAAAATATTGATATTGAAGCAAATTTTTAGTAATTGAACACAATAATAAGCACTATTATTTGTAAATTGAGTAATTATTTACATTTAGTTTTAAAGCGTAGATGGAAATTTCAATGTTATCACATAATCTTTAATTAGTAAAAAATTTAATTTATCCTTTAATTATTATTCATAATATTTATATTTATAATTTTAATTTTTTCACTGCGAAACTTCAATTTTCTAAATTTCTATTATAAATTTTTATCAATAATATTTATAGTATAGAATAAATAGCTAGAATAATATCAGTTGAAAAACAAAATTAAACACCTATTTTAATAATAATAATCATATCTATAAAAAGGTAATGATATACATATATAAGAATCAAATAAATTGAAATTTGATTTTATAAATATTTATTGAAAAATTATAAGATAAATGAATGTTAACTTCTTGAGAAGTTAGAAAAGATTATTTTGTAAAAATGTTAATTGGTAATCATTATCAAATAAAGAATGTTTTATCACATTTTATTAAAAATTTTCTTTTATTATTCTATTTTATATACTTTAGTATACTGATAAATCCATTAATATTTCAATTTTATTGAAATATGAAAATTAAATACAAATTGAATTTAAAAATTGCATATAAAAAGTTTATATATATATATATATATTGTTTCAATGTTAATTTTGTTTGATATATTTTATTACTTACTGTATTGTAAAATATGTATATTATTATAAATTTTTTAGTTTAATCAGGAATTTATTCAATAATTTTAATAAAATTTGTATGTTCAATTACAATGCGTAGATTTTTTATTTTGATTTGATATTGTGTATTCTACATATATAGAAAAATTTAGTGTTATTCACATTCACTCACACACAATCTCATTTTATCTCTTATTCTCGCTCTCTCTCTCTCTCTCTCTCTCTCTCTCTCTCTCTCTCTCTATCCATACACTCACATAAATATGTATGCTATAAAATGAGTAATATCATCCAATCGTTGAATAATGTCAGAGTCGATTTTAACAATATTCTTCCAATTCGCTTTTATTTTGTCTTTATTTGTCGGTTCTCTTTCTTTATCATTCTTTCTTATATACAAGCTAAAGTCTTTTCTGCTATTATTTTTTATTTTTCTTATTTCGGAATATATAAAGTACAACCGTTATGCGACTATTGGCATCCCGTCTGTTTTACTCTATTTTCACTTGAATACTTTCACGAAGAGTGGCATGTGCGTGACCGCTTATTTTTATAACAGCAGACGAACGAGCTTTAAAAAGGCAAAATTACCGGTCAAGAGAGAATTTGAAAGAGTGGGAGAGTGAGTAAATGAAAGGAGAGAGAGAGAGAGAGAGCGGATGATGTGCTAAACAAAGGAAGAGCGAATGGACAAAAGAAAGCGAAAAATGAGCAATAATGTGCCAAGCTTCGTAAGTTTCGGTATGTATGTAACAATTAAGGCATTCTTGAACTAAGAAATTTCAGCCGAAAGAAATAGTAGTCCCAAATAAAGACAAAAGGAGAATAAGGCGGAGATACGAAAAAAAAGATATAATACATGGAAAAAGTAAAATTAGTCAAGATTTTGTCGAAGACATTAAATAAATAAGTTTTTTCTTTGTTAAAAAATGTATACTTATACAATTTTAATCATCAAAATTTTTAACTAACTGGAAAAAAATAACTTTTTTCTATAATTGTAGTCATAGAAGGCATTAACTGTAGAATTAATTTCTAAATATTTATTTCTATACTTTTAATTTATAAATTATTTAATTAAAAAAAAACTACATAATTTGTATATAAATTACGTAGAATAACAGTATTATCTTCTAAACATATCTTTTTCAAATAATACACAAGAATATGATATAATTTATTTGAATTGATTTATAATTTAAAAATTGCAATGAAAATAAAATAGATATATTTTTCATACTATTAGAAATGCATTATTGAATACGTACCCATATATTTAATTAAACAAGTAATTAGTTTTCGAAATAAAGTAGAAAGAGAATATAACTAGGTCAGGCATAATGATTCAAGTCCATATTTATTTTTTATGAAGAAATATATATTGTATATTTATATGTAAGGTTTGATCAATAATCAAATTAACTTTGCTATTACTAAATATATATAATTAAATAATAATTAAAAATTGTGGATATCAATGTAATTCAAATACAAGTCATGAATAAATTCATATTTAACAGAAAAATAATTGTAGCAACTAATTTCAATTATTAAATAAACTTTAAATATGAATTTTTGAAATATTTGTAAATAATTAATGATAAATACGGAAAAATCTTAGTTCTAATAATGTTTAATATCGCAAAATGTTATTTACATCAGATCAATAAAAATAGTATTACAATAATGTAGATATTTTCAAGTGGTTACTAATCATTAATAAATGGTAATAAAACTTTTCCATCCTTCCATCCTTAGCTGAATAAAATTTTCCAGCAATTTTCGGTTTTGCATCCATTCATGTTGACTACATTTTCGTAGACAATAGGTACCAAACAGCAAGAAGATAATGCTCCAAGCTGAGTTGCTTCAAATTCAGCTCTGCAATTATGAGCCATAGACCATCACAAGGCTTGGAAAGAGGCTCGTAACGAAGCTGAGTATATTACTCGGTATTTCAAAAGCCACAGTCGATTTCCTCTCATCATCCTGCCGCAGTGAGGTACTTGATAACCCCGAGACCGGGAGTGCCCTGGTTAAGCTTCGTCTCCCCCTTCTCATCTCAATGCTGGTTCAAGGACTTTTTCGGCAAAAAATGTACTGCAGATGGATGAAGAGAAGAACCCTTTTCGTTTACTGAACCCGTTACACCACTCTTTTTTGTGCTTGTTTTTTAATGCAAGGTGCACGACCAGAATGTTTTCTTTTTCATATTATATTTGGTCGTTGAACACTAATAAGAAAAGTTGAATCACAAGAATAATTTACGATTTTTTACTCTTAACAGTTATAAACAAA